GTATATCTGTGCTGTACAATACTGGAGCCACAAAGCCACATGTGCCTAGTGAGCACTGGAAATGTGGCTAGAGCAACTAAAAAACTGATTTTTAAATTTATTTTATTTTAATTAATTTAAACTTAAGTTTAAATAGCCACACGTGATTACAACACAGCCTAGATTCAGACTACTAAAGAATAATGCTAATCCACAAATGCATAGCATGAAAAAATGATTTCAAAACTAATAAAGACATTTCCTACCTTGAAAAGTCCATTTTGGACTACTGTTTTGGCCAAGTAGCCTATGTAGATACCTTTTACTCTCAGCTACATTGTTTTCTGCTAACGTATTTTCCTTCTCTTACTGGTCTCGCTTTATAGTCTTTGAATGAAGGAGGGCATTTCCCCCACTGTAGAAAGTACACTAATTAAGATAGATAAGTCATGCTGTCTTTATTTATGTCACAATTTTCCCTGTAGCTAGAATTAAATGATGTTGTCGAAGGGCAATGCTAGTGTTTGATGGCTTTTAATATTTTTGTCCATATCGAAAGACTAAATAAATGCAATCAATATTCCCAATTCGTAACTCTCTAGTAATTATTCCAGTAAAGAGATATTCATGCTACTAAGCATCAATACATGCTCTTCATAGTCCCAATAAATCTGTTCCCAGAGAATAAACCATGTACCACTAGGCCTTTAGAGAGAATATTAACAAACACCAAGCTCAGAATGTGATTAAACAAACTCTTCAGCACAAGGGGCTTACAAAATATGGATTTTAAAACCCGAACACTTAATGAGAAACATCAAGAAAAAAGAATCATATCCTCAAAGGGGCTACATATTAAATTTGGGGTGACTCCTTAGGCAAATAGCCTTGGTTCATCACAAGAACTCATTCTATAAATGTTTACCTCATGAAATAAAAATAACTACAAAATAGGAATAATGATAATACTCAACGGTTATTGGGTACTCTTTGTGTGCTGACTCTATTTTAAGAGATACATAGATTCTTACAAGAACCCCATGAGGTAGATACTACTGTTAGTCCCATTTTACAAATGAGGAGATTGTGGCTGCAACAGACAATTCAAGGTCACGTATCTGAGATGTGAGGGGTGTGACGGTTATCAAACCCAGGTATGTCTGACTCCAAAACTCATACGTCTGATTACATTAAAAAAAGAAAAATCTACACTTAAAGACCCACTGCGTATTAAGACAAGTCAAGTTGCTTGTCATTAATGAGGAATTGTCAACCTCCTTCCTACTGAGTCTGAATAACTCCAGTATTTTACAAACTTATTTTGGTAAGCTGCAAACAATTAGCTTCATCTGCTGGATATAAAAGTTAATTTTGACTATAAAATACTTAGCAGTTTTACTTGTTAAAATCTTCCTTTAAAATTATACAAGAAAATGTATTGTTAGGTGCCATCGAGTCATTTCTGACTCATAGCGACTCTATGTACAACAGAACAAAACACTGCCCACTGCCCAGTCCTGCACCATCCTCACAATTGTTGCTATGCTTGAGCCCATTGTTGCAGCCACTGTGTCAATCCATCTTGTAGAGGGTCTTCCTCTATTTCGCTAACCCTCTATTTTGCCTAGCATGATGTTCTTCAAGGACTGATCCCTCCTGATAATATGTCCAAAGTATGTGAGACGGTAGTCTCGCCATCCTTGCTCCTAAGGAGCATTCTGGTTGTACTTATCCCAAGACAGATTTGTTCGTTCTTTTTTTGGTATATTCAATTTTCTTTGCCAACACCACAATTCAAAGATGTCAGTTCTTCTTGATCTTCCTTATTCATTGTCCAGCTTTTGCATGCATATGAGGCAATTGAAAACACCATGGCTTGGGTTAGGCACACCTTAGTCTTCAAGGTGACATCTTCCTTTTCAACACTTAAAAGAGGTCTTTTGCAGACTTGCCCAATGCAATGTACCTTTTGATTTGACTGCTGCTTCTATGGGTGTTGGTTGTGGATCCAAGTAAAATGAAATCCTTGACAACTTCAATCTTTTCTCTGTTTATCATGATGGTCCTTATTGGTCCAGTTGTGAAGATTTTTGTTTTATGTTGAGGTGTAATCCATACTGAAGGTTGTGGTCTTTGATCTTCCTCAGTAAGTGCTTCAAGTCCTCTTCACTTTCAGCAAGCAAGGTTGTGTCATCTGCGTAAGGCAGGTTTTTAACAAGTCTTCCTCCAATCCTGATGCCCCATTCTTCTTCATATAGTCCAGCTTCTCCAATTATTTGCTCAGCATACAGATAGAATAGGTATGGTGAAAGGATACAATCCTGATGCACACCTTTCCTGACTTCAAACCATGCAATATCCCCTTGTTCTGTATGAATGATTGCCTCTTGGTCTATGTACAAGTTCCTCATGAGTGCAATTAAGTGTTCTGCAATTCCCATTCTTCACAGTTATCCATAATTTGTTATGATCCACACAGTCGAATGCCTTTGCATAGTCAATAAAACACGGTAAACATTTTTCTGGTATTCTCTGCTTTCAGCCAGGATCCATCTGACATCAGCTATGATATACCTCGTTCCACATCCTCTTCTGAATCTGGCTTGAATTTCTGGCAGTTCCCTGAAAATGCAGAGATTCTATACAGAAAGACTTTAAACTAAGTGCTTCAACAGTCTAGTCATTAAAGAAGCATTTATATTACACACACACACACACACACACACAAACACACACAGTGCAAATTTATCTTTTAAATCCAGGCGCTTACATTCTATTTGTAGATCCACTTGCACAAGAGATATTACCAGCACTAGGAAGGACCTTAGCATCAAATAACTGTTACAGGCATTGGTTTACCAATGTTTAATAGAAGAGGAAAAACACCTTGAGTTGAGGAGATCTAAGACAGATTTATGAAATGTGGTATAAACTTTGCCTTAATGAATTCTTTACATCTAGATAGGTGAGAAAAAATAAAAGACACATTAGGACAAAACTCCAGGGGCAAAAGAACTTGATGACCCTTGGCAGTAGAGTAAACAGACCATCAGAGGAGTAATGGAAGGGAAACATGGAAACAAAGGGCATGCAGATTATGGACAGTCTTCAAATTGTTGCATAAATTGAATTTGATCAAAGATGCATTTGAAGAGACGACATAGGATGTTTTAAGAAGAGAATCGATGGCGAGAAATTGGATGTAGGGTGACTTTCCCAGTGTGTGTGGGGGGGGGAGGGGGGGAACCTGTTGCCGTCAAGTCAATTGCTGGTTGAATGACTGGCTACTAAAGGAAAGGTTGGTAGTTTGAACCCACCTAGGGGTGCTTTTGAAGGAAGGGCTGGCAATCTGCTTCGAAAAGGTCATAGCCATGAAAACTCTATGGAGCACAGTTCTACTCTGCAACACATGGAGTCACCATGATTTGGAATCAACTTGAAGGCTACTTTTTTGTTTTTTAATGACTCACTTCATAGGAAATATTCCAAAATGGAGAAATGAGAGTCAAATAAGCATGACAATAAAAGAATCTTAGATATCAACTGGAGGTGCAGGAAACAAACTCTATATTATAGGATATTTTTGTCAAACAAGTATCTGGAAACATGTAACAGTTTCCATGTAGGGAAAGAAAAACTTGTTTAGGGGACAGGAAAAAAGGGTAAGGAATTCAACAGCTGTCATTTAAACTTGATGTTGAGAAATACTAAAATTAATGCATGAAGCATAGAGCAAAAAATAGTGTCACTCCAATTTGTTAACACTGCTTTATTTGAGACATTATATTAAGAAGCACAATGATTTTAACCTTATCTGTACATCTGTTTTGTTCTTAAGATAGGAGACAGAAAAGTTTTGTTTGTACATGAGGTTTAAACTGTTGAACAATTAGGGAATATGAATTAAGGTTGTGGGGAGGGGACAATTAAAACCAGTTGCTGTCAAGCTGATTCTGACTCATGGTGACACCACGTGTTTTAAAGTAGAACTGCACGCCATAGGGATTTCATGGCTGTGATCTTTCAGAATCAGATCACCAGGCTTTCTTCCAAAGTGCCGCTGAGGGGGTTCAAACTGACAACCTTTTGGTTAGTAGTCCAATGCTTAACTGTTTATACTACACAGGAACTCCTTATACTCCTTATTAAACTACTTACAAAAAGGTACCTAATGAAAAAAAAAATGTTTTAAAAAAGGAATAGCAAAAGCAAATACCCTAGATGATTTACTTGCATTTTTCTATTCTTTTAAACTTCATAACCTTAGTCAAGGAGTTTCTTAAACACAAAATGCAAATAGATCACCACAGTCTTTTATTTTTTATTTATAAAACTGGTTTCTTGTTGGAGAATTCTTACCTGTTTTCCTTAAATATCTTAAAGGACAATAAATACAATGTCAGGAAAAAGCAACCTATGTCCTTTAAACATTTTCTTAACTAGCAAGCAAGCATTTTTTCTGTTCAGAGGCTTCCCTTCTTAAACAGAGGCACAGGTATCTTTTTTTTTCCTAATTAAGAGTGCCATTGATTGAACTGTATTCCCCCAAAATATGTGTCAACTTGACTGAGCCATGATTCAGTGGTTTGGCAGTTACGTAATGATGTAATCATCCCCCATGATATGACCTGATGTGATCAGCCAATTAATTTTAAGGGGATTAGGGTGGGATGCAACACTTATTCAGGTCACAGCCCTGATCTGATGTAAGGGGAGTTTCCCTGGGGTGTGGCTTACATCTCCTTTTATCTTACAAGAGATAAAATGGAGGGAGAAGCAAGAGAAAGAGGGACCGCCTACCACCAAGAAAGAAAAGCCAGGAGTGGAGTGAATCCTTTGGACCTGGGGTCCCTGCACTGAGAACCTCCTAGCCCCAGGGAAAGCTTGATGCCAAGACATACGGAGATGTCCAAGGAACGCCAGGCCCACAGATATTGAAAAGAGACAAGGACTTTTCCCCAGGGCCAAGAGAAAGAGAAAGCCTTTCCCTAGAGCTGGCATCTTGAATTTGGACTTCTAGACTCCTAAACCCTGAGAGAATAAATTTTTGTTTGTTAAAGCCATCCACTTGTGGTATTTCTGTTACAGTAGCACTAGATAACTAAGAAAAAGAGTGCAATTTTTTTATATTCTCCTCTGATTATTATAGCCTGTTTCATTTAAATTTTATCTGTTGCACAATTTTTCAGATTTTTTCATTTTCATATGCATATTGTATTATTTAACCAACAATATTTTGATAAGTAGGCCACTAACAAGCTATAATGAGTAGAAGCCATTTTACTAAGTTTAGTGCTACGATTCTTACTAAATACAACGTTCATCTTCAAGTGTGCGATTTTGACATTATTCTACGTAAATTTAAATACAGGTCTATTATTTTGGCAGATTACTTTTAGTCACCCTGTGTGTCAATCTTATTTCAAGTTAGAAATTAAACCCATTGTCTCTACCTCCCATTTATGAAGATTAGTGAAATCTCCATTAACCATAAGATGATTGTTGCTATGCACAGATAATCTTTATGACTATTATTGATAGACTGTCTAAAACTGAATGTTTTTTCTTTGCCCCCCCCCACCATGGTTTCTGTTCTTCCCTCCCACGCTTCCTTCATTTTCTTTAACAAAACAAAGATAATAATGTATACCACTTGCCTCATTCACAGTGGTAGAATTAGTGGATTCTGTCTTTTAGGGGGATACATGTAGAATTAGTTACTGTTAATTATATCAAATCAGCAGTTTTACTGGACCTTCTGCTTAATCAGTTTTTCCTGATTTTCATCACATTACACATTATTTCATAAATCTATCAAGGCAAAGGAGAGGAGTTTGGGTTTGGGTGGGGAGTAGAGAGGAGGCCATGGGAGGACTTCTTATATAACCAAGCCCTTTAGGAATGGCTTAGGAATACTTCCTTTCTTTAGGAAACCTATGATGATTCAGTACTGTCAAAAAACTAAACACCAAAAATTAGTGTAACAGAATATACTTATTGTAAGTAGATATGATTCGAATGGGGCAGCATCAACCCAAAGGGATCCGGAAGGCACTCCGAAGAGGGAACAGTGGAAGCAGGTTATATAGCAGTATAGTCTCCTGGAGGTCATTGTAATTCTCCAAAGGAGCCCAATGCCTAAGGCAAAACCATCTTCACTAAGCTGTTTACTAGGCTATTGTTTGACTTGAAGGTGATTTTAGAAAAATAGTTCCTTAAAGGCTCAAAGTGCAAAGGGACATCTACTGGCAAATGGCCTGAGTGGGTCACCTCAACTCCAAGGAGCCAGAAATCTGGATTCCAGAATTAAAAGTTTCTCACTACAGTGATTAGTTATCAATATTTAAAATATTCTACAAGAGAAGCAGAGCAGCTTTAAGCTGGTAAACAGTAGAAAGAGAATACTAGTAAATTTACAAATGTGGGGACTGGGGGATTAGAGCCAACCAAAAAAATAAAACACTGGTACTCAGGGACTGAATGATTCTGCCTTATGCAGTTTTTGTCTAGCTTACTTGGCGTATCTATCTTCTTGTCCCACAGGTCCTAAAATTCCACATAACTAAAACTGAGAACCCATTATCTTTCCTTACACACCAGCATTTTCTCCCACATTCTCTATATACATTATGTTGTTAGGTGCCTTTGAGTTGGTTCCAACTCATAGCCACCCTATGGGGAAAGCCATATTTTTGGTTCAATAGTCCGCTGAAAAGTCAATGCTGGTGTGCAACAATGTTTTCAGCATTTGATTTTAATGGAGAAAATTAAAAACAATATAGTCTTTCATAAACTAATTATATTTTTGAAATTCTGGAATCACATCTTTCTTTTTTGATGTTAAACATTTGTTACTTGAAATGATAGTAACAGTTGAGGGTAGGTTTTGTTTGTGGTATTTACCAAAATTATTGGCAGAATCAAGGTATAAAAAAATGAATATACTTTCCCCTAGTTATTTTTATTTGTACTGTTCAATGAAACCACACTCTGAACCACAGTTCTCATATGTTCGTTTACTTGCTCCAGTAGTTTGGAGTGTTTAGTGAAAGTGAGAATTACCTGGAACCTAGATAAGGATGCAGATTCTTGCCTTTACACCTATATCTGCCGAAGAGATTCTGGCATCATTTCCTAAGCCTTAAGTTACTTTGCAACTATCCAGCTACTTTGCAGTCTGAGTTCCTTAAAATACAGGGAACCTGATTCATTCAATGAGTTGTATCCATCTGTCCCCAGAACTTTTGGAACTTACTTAGTTTCTTGAACGAATGGGCCACATTTTGAGTTCAATAGATTTTGTGGACTGGACTGATCAGACTAAATATAACTTTGTTTCTATAGGGCAGGTACTCAGCTCAAATGTACTGAATGTTTCATTAACTGTAGAAATACGTTAAACCTCTTAGGTTTTAAATGAGGTAATTACATCTTTTCAACTTGCTCCATATTTTGTCCCAGAACTCACCATTTTTTAAAATTATTTGCTTTGAGATTACCATGCAAAGAGCAAGGTAACCACTGGTGGTTGCGCGGAGCGCGGAGCGCGGGGCGAGGCCGGCTGGTTCCTGCAGTGCCCAGGCCTGCACGGCAGCGCCCTGGCAGAACCCAGCTTTGAAGACAGACGCCTTTACCAGCGCGGCCAGAGCAAGAAGCAGCAACGCGCTCCCCTGGGGCATTGTGTGCGCGCCGGTCCCGGAGATCGCAGCCCCAGGGGGGCAGCTCCACTGCAGGAGACAAGACACGCCTCAGCCCGGGCAAATTCCCGGCCTCCTCTGGCCCTTGGCCAGTAGCAGTCGCCTGCCACCTCCTTTCCTCCTGCACCGTCGCCCCGGCCGTCCTGCCGGGCCCGGAACTCGCCCGCGCCTCTGTCACGGCGCTGGCGGCGCAGTCGGGGGCGACACCGATGTGGCGCATGCGTGGTGGCGCCACTAGGCGCGGGAGCTGCGGCGGCGGAAGCAACAGCGGAGACAGCTGTGGACAAGGCCGCCCGGGCCGGGCTCGCGGGGCCGGCGGCGGCGGCGTGGGCTGGCGAGGCCGTGCAGGCGGCGCCCGACAGCAGCTGGAAGAGCGGTTCGCGGACCTGGCGGCGAGCCACCTGGAGGCCATCCGCGCGCGGGACGAGCGGGACCGGCAGAACGCGCGACTGCGCGAGGAGAACGCCCGGCTACGGCTGGAGAACCGACGGCTAAAGCGCGAAAACCGCAGCCTCTTCCGTCAGGCCTTGCAGCTCCCCGGAGAGGGCGGCGACGAGGCACCTGCAGTGGCGACGGAAGCAGCCACGGCCCCCGAGGCGGCCGGCGCGAACAGGAGGGCGAGAGGCAACGGCCTTGAGGACGAGCCAGACAGCCCCAGGGCCCTGAGGGCCCGGCTGGAGAAACTGGAGGTCATGTATCGCCGGGCCCTGCTTCAGCTGCACCTCGAACAGCGGGGGCCACACCCGCGTGGGGACAACGAGGAGCGGCCACTTCGGGAACCCGAGTCAGGCCTCCGGACCCCGGACCTGGAGTCTCCCAAATCTTGGCTGTAGCCCGAGGCCCAGCCAGGAAGGGGCGGGCCTTGTATGGGCCCCGCCTCCTCCGTGTGCCCTACTCTCCCAATCCCTCCATACCCCACGGCGCACGCTTCGGCCTGCGCCCCGCCTGCGGAACTTTTGGAGCGCTCTCCTCTTTCATCTCTCGTCTTCTCCCCGGACACTTCCGGGAGGCGCTACGCGTTGGGCCCCGCAGAGGCTGAGATAGATGCAACAGCCGTTGGAATCCTCGCTTATGCAGAGGACTTTCTTGCTGATGGTTTCCGGGGAGAGAGGCCTAGCAGCGGAGGGGCGGGTTTTAAACAGCACGAACTGGGTGCCAGTCAATACCTTCTAATGCCTGAACTTCGCTGGGTGTTGTGAGGACCTGTTGAAGTTTTCCTGTTTTGCTTCTTTGAGGGATGAAGAATTTTGAGTTAATTCAGTTTGTTCATTCTTAAGTCCCCTAAAGGCTTCAGGCATTATCTCTTAAGTGGCCAACATTTTGTGCTTGTTTTTATAAGTCGGTTATTACTTGGGTTTCTATAAAGCACCACCTTTTATAAAGAAAGTAATATTTATAACTTGAGACCTCATGTCTGCTCCTGGCTCCAGAGCTTATACATCTAATACATACTGGTTTGTTTACCCCCAGAGAATTTTTGAAGTACCTGCTTATAGGTGATCCTTTGAGTTGGTATATAAATGCGGTGCATTAAAAATAAAAGCTTCCAACGACTGTTACTTGAAGCGTGGTAAATTTTCATATACACTTCAAGAGATATACATGTATGCATTTATCTTATTTTAATATCTGAAATTGGTTATCCTTTTTTAACCTTTTAAACTAACGTTTAAACTAACGTTCTTTTTGCTTTAACAATGATCTTTTTAAATCTAAAGATTAAAAAAAATTGTCTCATTCTTATCACATTTTAGACGTGACATAGTTTAGTCAGTGCATAGCTAATTTGCCTTATTTTAACTGAGAGCTTTTAAGAAATTATAAATCATTTGTATATCAAAAGCCTCAAAATGATTTGATAATCTCAATTGTTTCAGTGGCAGAAAAAAATGTGTTCTAAAATCACTTTATTACAATGTGTCAATAACACTTTTGCCTCCTAAGCAGTGAAGAAGATACCATAGTGCCTGATAAAAATCATGGATGAAAGAGAGTGTTTAAGTGATGGTAATCAGTTCAGGGGAAAAAAAAATGGGTAGAGTTTTTTGTTAGGGAAATGACATATTCCAAAATTTCAATATATAGCATATATTACAAAACAAGGTGCCAGGGAAACCTTTTCTGTGATACAGTCCTGAGTTTTGAAGACACTACATGCATTTTGCTTAAAAGTAGTTGATATTTGGTCATAAATATTAAAATTATCCCTATGGACAACAAATGAGAACAAACGATGAGAATAGATAGATTTTTGAAAATCATTTCTATCCGCCTTCATTTTCTAACAGCCAAAGAAAGTAAGGATTTTTAGAAGGAAATAAAGTAATCCATAAAGAATGTGAAATTTAGAATTGAAGAACTGGAAAAAATACATATTGGCCCTACTGCTGCTTACCCGTAATTTGGGGTTTAAATTTGTTTTCTTGTAAAACAACGATAACACCTACCTCAAAATGTTATGAGAATTAATGGATATGATACATGCAAAATACCGCTTCAGAGTAAGTGTTCTATCAATGAGAATTACTATCCAAAGTGTGAAAGTTGTAAATTCACATTTTACATACACTTTCCCTTTTTTTCTATATTTTGTTCCTATATAACTGAGCATTAGCAGAGGTACATACCTTTTGGATGAGCTGAGATTTTTCATTCTTTATAAATATATAAAACCCCCCATTGCCATTGAGTAGATTCCTACTCATAGCGACCCTATAGGACAGGGTAGAACTGCCCGCATAGAGTTTCCAAGGAGCACCTGGTGGATTCGAACTGCCAACCTTTTGGTTAGCAGCCGTAGTTCATAACCACTACGCCACCAGGGTTTCGTATAAATATATAGAGGAGATAAAGTCCGATGTAATAAGGGGCTAATGCAACATCAAATCCAAAAATATTTGCCAGTTGTGGCAATGTTAACTATATTCAACAAGCAAGCAAAGCATTTTTTGACATAATTATTTACAATGTAAGTATGAGTGGATGCTATATTTGTTACATTTGCTGGTGAAACAATTGCAAGGTAATGAAGCACACACAAATACACACAAAAGGACTATTGAGCATAATTCCTGAAAGGCATTAATAATATGAAACCAAAATGCCCCATAAAATAGGTTAAGACTAATGTGTATCTTAATGTTGCTGAATTTCTCTGTTGATAACTGATAAAGCATCATGCTGTAACATGGTAGATATTATGTTATTTTTTCATGTGCTGGTAACAAGATAGGTCAATATAAAAGACTAGTTTTTTGGGTTTTTTTCTATTCTGTTTCTAATTTTGGAAGACATTTAGTTTTTCAGTGGATCTTATTATCAATTTAGTAAATATTCTGTGGGCACTTGAAAATAAGAATTACTGTCTTTCTAGAATAGAGTTCGACAGGTACATTCGAATACTAATTATTGCCCTTATGTTTTCTTTAAGTCCTTGGGTAGGTTTATATTTTAACTTGGCACGAGCCAACCAAAGGAAAATACTTATATTCTTTGCTTGGGAGAGAAGTTCTCCATTGATGCTGCTGGACACAAGAAACTAGCAGATAGTCTCTCTGGCAGCTATCGTGATCTTAAGTACAAGATTTCAGATGGAATTGAAACTGAAGATGGCAGTGCAGAGTAGAAGAATACTTGTTTCTTGATAATATCATTGAGGCTCCAGTTTTGTCATGCCTGGAGTCTGTCCGACATCTGGAATTCCATGTACATGGGAGAATACATTTCCTTATTGTTTATGTCTGTTTGAGTTAGGGAATTTTGCTAATAGAAGGAACACTACAATGACACTGTAAAAACGGCATGGGGGCAGTGTCTGACCTCCTCCAACCCTACAAGCAGGAAGGAGAACCAAGATCAACAGCACAAGGCTGACTTCCATTAGGTGGAGGCCAGACAAGCCTCCTCTGTCTGCTGTCTTTACTAATTCTGACACCAACTATCCCTCACTCAGCACTCCCTACTTCTCTGCTGGGTTCAATAATTCATTGCAATGGCCACACAGAACTCACAGACCATACCCACGATTATGGGGATTTATTAGGGAAGTAGCAGTTACAATTAAGGCTCAGGAACACTCAGGATATGGTTCTTCCATCAGGACAGCCTATTCCCAACCGTGCTCGCAGGCACACCTCTCCCTGGCTCTAGGCGTCTCACCAAAGGCACTTAGCTTTCTCTCTCTGCAGGCCGGGAAGCATCACTGTGCCGTCTCCTGCTGAGTCTCTTGGGTCTCTTCTGCCACCACTTCTCACTGTCTTCAGGGTTACAGCTTGCTCTCCGCTCCTGGCTGTTCTTCCTTGATGGTGGTATGATTTTCCTCTCTGCTCTGGAATTGTCTCTCTTTTCAGGCAAAACTGACCAATCCCCTTGATGGGCCACAGTTACCCTGTCACACAGTCCTGCCCAATCACCTGGGTGGAGTTAAAAGACCATGACTAGAAAGGCCACACGAATGTAATCAATCACACAACAAACACACCAAAGTAAAGGTGAATCTCACAAACATAATATTGAATGCAAACACAAAAGAATATATACTGTATGATTTCACTTATATAAAGTACAAAAACAGACAAAAATAGTCTGTAAGTCAGGATAGATACCCTTTGGTACGCAGAGGTAATGACAATGGAGTACATGAGGGACTTCTAGAAACAGTCTAGAATCTACAGAAAAAGTAAAATGTTCTGAGACCTGTGTTCTTACAAAGCTTTAGTAATCATGCAATGTGGTTTTGATGAGGGCTAGACGAAAAGACCAATGTAATAAAATAGAGAACCAGAACTAGAGCCACATATATATGGAAACTTGATTTATAACAGAGTTGGTTTTGCAGTTTAGTGGAGAAAAGATGGAATTTTCAATAAAAGTGCTATAAAAATAGATTATCCATATGGGAAAAGTATTTTTTCCTTTTACTTCATATCATACACAAAAATATTTTACTGGTGGAGTAAAGACTTATGTTTGAAAGATAATGTTTCATAAAATTCTAGAAAGTAATATTGAAGAATATGTTTATGATATGGTAATAAAATATTTTTTAAACAATAGATAAAGCACAAAACAGAAAGTGAGGTATTAATTTAACTAATTAATATGAGATGCTTTCCTCAAAAGCCAGCACGTAGAATGGGTTACTAACTGAAAGAAGATAATTGAAAAATATAGACAAAAAGCTAATAACTAGATGTATTGAGAATTCTTTTAAATTAAGGAAAAAAACAGAAATCATTCCAGTACAGGAAAAAGCAAAAAAGATTAATAGATCCTTTATATTAGAAAAGTCCTGAACAGTCTGTAGACATATGAAAAGACTCTCAAATTAATAGAAATATAAAACTATCCTTAGGTACCCCATCTCTTGTAGTCTATAATTCAACCAATCAGCATTTACTTAATGGCTAAAACAAATAAAAATTCTAGAAATCATTCTGAATATCTCCTTCTCTAAATGGTCATTACCTCTAAATGATAATCAAATCCTGTAAAATTTGCCTCACAAACGTCCTCACAGTTTTTTCTTTCTCTTCATACCTTCATTCTCTTCATTGTGGGCCTAGTGTATTTGTAATCATCTTTGGGTTGGGTTACTTTCTGTGAAGTGAGCTTTGAAAAACCAAAGGGTATGTACTATAGATGAATAATTTCCCAAACACGGTATGCATAACTCTAGGGGTATGCAGATATTCTGGGGAGCAAGTAAAAATTCCCAGCTTTTCTTTTTATATATATTTTTATCTCATTCTTTTGAAATGTATTCTTGTATATGTGTCTATTTCAAAATCCTCTAAGTGAATTATATACATATTTTTGTATATATTTATTTTTTACATGTTGTAGTAGCATTTTAAGATACTATGCTGGGAGTCAGAAAACTCAGTTGCCAAGGTTGTCATTTGTTAGTTTTCGGTCCTTAAGAATAGTACTTAATCTAGTAGTTGCTTTTTTTTTTCCATGTAAAAAATTGGATAATAGAAAGTACCCAAAAATGCTTTAACAGCAAGGTTTATTGTGAGACTTAAATTAGATATATCTGAACTTGCATTTTATGATTGTAAGGTACAATTCCAAGGTAAGAAAAATTATCTCTAAAGAACAAACTTACAGAAACACATTATTCAAAGAACAAAGGACAGCTAAGGAGACTGAAAAGAGTAGGTTAGAAATGTAGGGGGAAATTAGGAGTAATTCTGTGGAGACCCAGGGAAGATAGATTTGATGAAAGAATGAACTGTTTAATACTGCAAACAGATTGAGCAAGGTGTGATAGAGTGATTTCAAAAATGGTCCAATTTTCCATCTATTCTTGTATTTATGGCCTTTGCAAAATGACTTTGCAGCTCTACCTATAAAGACATGGGGTTTATTCCCCTACTCCTTGTTGACACTTGCTTTGGGCAGTGGAATGCAGCAGAAATAACAAGGTACCAGTTTTGTGTCTAGGCCTCAAGAGACCATCTATACTTCTGCTCTTTCTTGGAATCCTGCCATATGAACAAACTTAAGTTAGCCTGCTAGATGAAAGAATAGCCATCCAGCTATCCCTGACCAGCCAAACCAGACAACCAGTGAGCAAACACAAACATGAGCAAGTCCTTCTGAGATTAGCTGAGTCAGGCCTAGATCAGCAGAACCAGCAGCTAGCAAACTGTAAGCAATAATTAATGGTTATTTTAAGTCATTAGGTTTGGAGATAGCTTATTATGCAGCAAAAGATAACTTATACAGGGAGAAATCTTTGCAGGGACAGGTTTAGTGAATGATGGTGAGAGGCAAACTGTTAGATTATAAATCTTTACGGAGTTACCAGGAATTGGGCAATTCGTTAAGTATCTTCTTGAAGGGAAGAATGGAATTGGAAGGGTTGCTAAAGGTATTATTATTTTTATTGTGTATATAGAATGAATTTGGCTATGTTTGTAGAAAGTTGAGAACAATCTAACAGAAAGTGAGATTGGACAGGCTATAGGAAGAAGAGGTGATTGATGTGACATGTTTTCAGGGATGGTGAGTTCAAATGCACAGATGATTGAAAAAGTGTGGTAAAGAAATGATTAAATTCTTGTTCTTAAAAAGGAGATATGGAGAATAGGGCAGGTGATGATACAGAGAAAAAAATGAGATTAAAGAGAGAGATTGAGTGAGGCCATATCTTTTCGATAAAGAAAGCAGTGAAATCACCTGTTGAAGTTAGCCTATTTGCCCAGCAAATTTTGCTGTCCTCAGAGTAAAGTTTCAAGCACTGCGAAGGGGATTTAAAATACAGTCACCTATGGTAGACAAGAATTATCTTAGGTGAAGGGAAGGACAGCACACACTACAGCGGAAGTCAGGACAACTGAACTAAACCAAAGCTGAGAAGTTTCCTCCAAATAATTTGAGGGACAGAGTAGCAGGGGCAGGGGTCTGGGGACCATGGTTTCAGGGGACATCTGGGTCAATTGGCATAACAAAGTTTACTAAGAAAATGTTCTGCATCCCACTTTGGTGAGTGGCATCTGGGGTCTTAAAAGCTAGTGAGCAGCCATCTAAGATGCATCAATTGGTCCCGACCCACCTGGAGTAAAGGAGAATGAAGAACACCATAGACACAAGGAAAGTATTAGCCCAAGAGAAAGAAAGGGACACAGAAACCAGAGCCTTCATCAGCCTGAGACCAGAAGAACTAGATGGTGCCTGGCTACCACCAATGACTGCCCTGTCAGGGAACACAACAGACAGTCCCTGATGGAGCAGGAGAAAAGCGGGGTACAGAAGTCAAATTCTAGTAAAAAGACCAGACTTAATGGTTTGGTTGAGACTGGAGGGACTCCAGAAGACACGGCCCCCAGACTCTCTGGTAGCCAAGAACTAAAACCATTCCCAAAGCCAACTCTTCAGACATATATTAGACTGGATTATGGGGCATAAAATGATACTCGTGAAGAGTGTGCTTCTTGGCTCAGGTAGATACATGAGACTAAATGGGCAGCTCCTGTCCAGAGGCAAGATGAGAAGGCAGAAAGGGACAGGAGCTGGTTGAATGGACACAGGAAATCCGGGGTGGAAAGGAGGAGTGTGCTATCACAGTATAGGGAGAGCAACAAGGGTCACATGATAATGTATGTATAAATTTTTGTATGAGAGACTAACTTGAATTGTAAACTTTCACTTAAAGCACAATAATTAAAAATAAAATAAAATACAGTCACCTAGGAGACAAATAAGTGGGTCTTATTGCTGAGTGGGCCTGAGAGCCCAAGTGAATCTGGATATCAAGAGACACACGCCCAAGCATTGAAATTGCATTAGTCATGAGGAGAGAAAGCATGCAAAAGACAACCCTCAAACAGAAAAGAAAGATACGCTAGGGAATTTTCTATTTCTAAAGTTGGATTTCACTAAGTAAAATCTTACTGGGAAGTCAGTTTTGAAAATTTCTGTCTTTATACTTGCTGTATGTCTGGAATTGAGCCATTAAGGAATTGAGCCATTGAGGATGCGGATCATTCATACGAAGAGCTGAAAATTTCATAATGTTAGAGTGGTGGCAGTGTGCATGTAAGCGGGAAAGAAGGGAAAAGGTGGAGGATTTGCAACCAGGATTTGTGATGAGTGAGATAATATGAGATGTTAATAAGGGATGTTAAGAAAACACTTATATTCTTTGCATATCAGGTTTAAAATCAAGACTGTGAAGTTGACGAGAAAGAGTTCCTGGGTCCTTTGTGTAGGGATGGCAAACTATCTTTGTGTCTGCAAGATAGTAATCAGAGAGGGATGCTGATAAAGGGGAAGCATGAAGTGAAAGTATGGTTACACAAAAAGGGAAGACTGAATTATTATGGCAGTCTCTTAAGATTTC